ACTTAACATTAACTAGGTTTTGGAATTTATTGAAAATTATTACATATAATTTAGTTAAAATTCATATAACTAATGATTAAAAAAAATTTTGGGTTCAGTTGCAATAAAATAGGTTGAGAATAATGAAATAGGCATGACAACAGTGGATATTATACCATCCTGTGTCCCTTATTCATGACATCACGATATTTGTTTGTAGTTACATCTCCTGTTATCTCTAGTTTTAATGGAAATAATCTTTGATATCGATAAAGCATTATTGTTGAAAAGTTACCTGTAATCAAATTACTATGTTAAATTGAGTTGTAAACTATTATCTGGTCCTTTAAATGTTGAAAGTATTGAGTAAATCAATGACTAAAAAATACTTGTTAAAAATTACGTATTCTACATATCCCACTATAGAAATGCATAATTTTCGGTTACACGTATGTAAAAGTGTCAAACAGTTAAAAAAAACAATTACGTATTCAATTGAAAAACAATGTGATTTTATTCTTAGTGCCTCTATTTTTAGGTTGTAAACATTGCATTGGTCGAATTTAGTTTAGTTGGAACGCTAGGGTTTAAGAAGTAGTACAGTAGCTCTGCTATAATTACTATGGAATTGATCAAATATCAGGGTGCTCCGAATGTTGTTTTGGAAACTGGTGCTAAAAAATTAGACAGATGTAATATTAAACTTAGTGAGGAAGCTTCTAGAGCGAGGATTTCTATTTGTTTCTTATTTATCAACGTCAGTTGTCACTTGTCTGTTGAAATAAATTTAAGACAGTTACTTTACTAGTATTGAATAATCAAAACTTTTATTTACAATTTTGAGAATTAATTTTTAAAGCAATTGGCTTATAGAAATACCAATGCAGTGGTTGAGCTATTTTGAAATGAAAGCTTATAAGTATTATATTTGACAGCTTATTCTATATATTGTAATTAGTTTTTCTTCTATACTGTATATAATGAGTATTTATATTGGTATTTGAAGCATATACCAAAATGTTGTTTTTATTTTCGTTTTATGGAAAACAGATCAAGAAACATATTTCAAGTGAACATTGACAACTTTAATGTCAATGGAAATGTAATTTTTCCTGTCTCTGCCTGCTAGACTAAAACAACTGGTCAGTTATACGAGTTTGTTATTTGATCTGTTTTAATATGTTCTATTGTTTTTCTATCTACTTTGTTTTCCTCTACTAATGACAATCTAGTCCATAGAATTCCAGTATTAAGTATAATCAAAGACTGTTTTTTGTTTCGTTTATAAAATTAATTTTTTACTGTACTTTTTCACAAAACGTGAAATCAAAGGTAAATAATGTACAGAAAATATTTTTTCATCTTCTCTCTACATATTAATATAATAACGATTCCTCTAAAAAGTATCTATATAAAAAAAACGGATAGTAGCTGTGATACTGAAAATAAAACCAATTACTATTGGATAATATTTTTGAATCAATTTAAACGATACATTTTTGAGAGGTGCCACCGCTACTACTTCATAAGTATTCAAATAAAGTCGAGTTTATTTAATTTTTAAAGAGTTTATCGGGTTTATTTATTTATTTTTTATTTGAATATGAGTTTTGTTTTAGCTTAATGTCAGTATTTAATAGCTTTATCAATAAATTTGAAAATGGAAGGTGTTCGTTTTACTCAAAAAAAGTTTCAGCTTTCATTTTTGTGCCTCAACATCAGAAGAACCTCAGGCCATTTAACCCTTTCGGTTGTTGGCCCATCAGGATTCGAGGAATTTTGTTTGAAAAATCTTATTTCAAAAATTGTTTTGTTCAACAAAGTGTAGCTCGAAAATACTGTTGTTCTTTTAATTTTTCTCATTTTATGTGTAATTTTTCTGCGAAGCAACCTGCGATGACTCCAGGCCGTACAGGTTAGGCAAATTACGCAAACGAGTGCTTATAAAAATCAAACTCGTGTAAATTTTCTTCTTTGAGACCATAAGGAATAGTTCCTCGAAGTTACACCAAAATCTAAGATGGGTCAGCTTTGCCAGTTAGACGATTTTAAATGAAATGACTCTTTTGTATTAATTTTAAAAGTTCTATCAAGTATTAAAGCTCTGATACAAAATACTGAAACTACCTTTATGTATACATCATTAGGTATCATCAGACTAGTATGCAAATTTAGAAATAAAATATGTAACCTATTTACCTTCTTTAAAAAGCAATATTGAACATACCGGATGTTATTCAAATACATGGTACATATTATTAAACGATATTAATATTTAGATTCTCCTGCAATGTGCAAAAATATTATTTTTAAAATTTGTTTAATATAATTGAGAAAATGATTAAACTTTGAAAATGTATGTTCACCCTTTCAGCGACGGAAATCGTTCTGCTGAGATATATATTGTGTTCAAGAGTGTAAATAAAAATGATCTCCCTGTTATTCCATAAAAAAATTAATGTCTTCCTAATTGACTTCTAACAGTTGACCAATGGAGTACTAAGATATTTTAAAATAATGTTGATAAATCGTCAAAAGTGAAGTCTAGAAATCATTGATGACCCATTAAACCGCGTTCCAAAAACATACATACTAGGGCGGGCTGAAAAGTAATCAACGCCCAAGTTTGAATATGGATAAGTCGCGGGAGGCCAAATCTGGAGAATATGGTGGATGAGGAACCAACTCGTAGCTCAATTCATGCCGTTTTGCCATTACACTTGTCACATGGATGTGTTCCTTCTCAACATTAAGCAAACGCTACATCGATCTGGCAGTGAGATTCCTCTTTCCTAAATATTTTTTCAATCTTTTCTCCATTTATTCACATGAGAAACCCACAGCTTCGACAATCCCAGCAATATCTTTGTGATTGTCAAACGGAAACGAAATGACGCAGCTGAATGAAAATTTGACAGAAATCACTTTAAGAATAGTATTTACGAAAAACAACATTGCTTTGATTGTTTATTATCTAGTCCTATTAAATTTTATTTTTTATATGAGAATAAAGTGAGTCACAATACGAAGATGTCCCACACCCTTGGCAATCTTTTACACATCATTTATGTGATGTGGTTGATCTCTTTGTGACGACCGGAATTGTCAAACAAATTATGTAGCTGGCTGAAAATTGACCGAAGTTATTTGAAGAATATTTATGAAAAACAACATTGCTTTGATATTGATTACACCATCTCTTGTCTAGGTCGATTACTTTTCATCTCTTGTAGGAGAATAAAGTGAGTTACACGATGAAGCTGTCCTATAACCTCAGCAATCTTTTACACATAATTTATTATGTGGTTGACCTTTTTGTAACGTCCTGAACTGTCAAACAAATGACGTGGCTGGCTGAAAATTTGACAAGCCATTTGATGGATAGTATTTATAAAAATCAACATTGCTTCCACACTGGTGGCGTCATATTTTGTCTAGGCCGATTGCTTTTCAGGAGAATAAAATGATGATGAAGCTCGGCAATCTTTTATACATCATTACTGTTGACCTTTTTGTCACGGCCTGCACAGGGACTCCGTGTCATATAGAATTATACCGGTCGCTTCAATTCTATCGATTGGCACTCTGTGTCTCCAAATAATCGCCAGGAGTCGACTGTAACTATCGCCACGAAGCGAGACGTCAAGACATATAGTTTTCTACTAAAGTAGGCAAACCGTTATACATTTTTGTTTTGATTTTAAAACATTATGGCATTGGATCTAATTTCAAATGAAAAAAAGTAACAAACGTAAAAATAAGAATTACGGTAAAGCTTTGTTGTTAAATCAAGTGAATTTTTTATTGTGGTGTGTGGTGTAAACATTATAATAGGTTTATTCTGCCATATTTTTTTACCAGCAAAATCTGCTAGGTCCAAGGTGAATCTTCCCGTTGAAGAGGCATATACATCCACAGCATCAGTATAAAAAAGTTAATAATTTGAAATCCTTAATCCAGGATATTCCTCAATAAAACAAATAATTTTACAGTATGAAACTTGACTGGCCGACAGAGGTCTCCAAACTTACTTAATAATGTCATTGTAAAACTATGTTTAATAAATAATGTATCAGATTTTTATTTTTAATCTTTTATTGTAAATAAGTTTGGAAAAGATCACAAATAAATTAAATGTAAGTAGATGTGCCCTTTTCCAAAAAAAACCAATTCACTTATTTTTCTCTTCATTTGGTCGCAAGATTTCAACATGGGTACAATCTACTGTTCCAATTATCCCGGGAAAATTTCTTGCTTCTATAAAACATAACTAAATTTGTTATTTTCCTGTAGAGTTCTAGGAAACCGAATCCATTCCCCTGAAAAGGTGTTTATAATGGCCGTATTTCCTCTTTAGCTCTCGACGTAATTCCATTTAATATATACTGGGACATATCTTTATTGAATCGAAATAACTCTACAAATCTTACATTTTCTATAGAGAATGGATCGCTTGTCTCTCTCATTACTCGCCTATCTATATTTTCCAAACGAAGATGTTATAGTCGTTCCTCCTCTTCAACAGCTAATATATTGGCCACAAACAAAGGGACCATTATTACAAATCAAAGCAAAAACTAGATAATACAAACTTAAAATCAAAACCAAAGCGGCACCTTATACTTGACAAAAAGTAACAAATCTCTATATTTCAAGCAAACATTTTTAGATCGGTTAGTAAACCTCCGAGAATGTCCGATGTTTTGACATCCATGAATCGACTGTCACACAGAGTACCGGCAAAGCGTTTATAGAATTCTACAGTAGAAATCGGTTGTAGAAAACTATATGTCGAAAGCGATGGGACACGGAGTGTCGCTCCTGGACTGTTGAACAAAAGCTAAACATTTTGACAGAAGTAATTTGAATGTTAATGTGAACATTGCATTCATATTGGTGGCTCCATCTCTTGTAAGGCATTTACTTTTCATCCGGAGAATAAAGTGAATCAGACGACGAAGTTCTCATACCGATTAATAAACTTTCACCTGTAAATTATTTTATTTTTGTTTTGTTTTCAGAATCTTCTGTGTTGCGCTGCAGACGTTCTAGAAGGTAAAGGTTTGGTGCAAGTAGCTGTGACTGTAACGGAACTGTTGAGGTTTCATTTACCCAAATCGCCCCTGCATACCACTTCGATGTCGACGGTGGTTTAAATAAATTCTTATTAACATCCTCGATTTATCAATATAGAATTTGAAGAGTAGATTAATAAATTTCGCATTAAGTAATTCGCTAGTATGCCAAAATTATTAAATTATACGCCATAACACAATTCTCCATTATAGAACTTATGAATTTTTAGGCTGTGGAAAATGCATTATCGACTTTAATTTTGACTTATGAAATTGCTGATTTCACAAGCACTAAAACTTTATCATAATTCCACTTTTACTTCAATATAATCGAGGTCGTTAATAGAAAAATTGAGATATTTTGACTGAAACAAGCAATTCATTTAAAATTAGCAGTATTATTCATTATTATGTATTTCTAAAACCACTAAATTATAGATAAGTTAGACCACAAACATTTACAGATTACTTCTTTAATTACGCAATAATTGCTTGTATTCGGTCATTTTAAAACAGGTGCTACTATCACCAGGGAAAAAACTTTCAACATTCCTTTTTTTGTGACATAAACATTAATATTTATTTTTATCATTCCAAAATCATATTTGATTACAATATTTTTAAAATAAAACTTCATTTAAGTCTGACAGATGACACTTTTGACAGGAACAACTTGTGTCATCTGTAAAACGTCAAAATGTAGACGATATTTAATTGTGAAATGTAAATTTACCTCCAACACAATGATTTTTGCATTTTTTCATAATTAAATTTTATATTTCTTTCCGTGCTGGTAGTAGACACTATCTCGAAACTGCAGGAGAAGTTGTGTCGAGGTTAGAATGATTCTAATCGATTTTTATGTGTGATTATACAATTTAAGATGTATTCGAATATTAATTAACTATTTAGTGTATATTTTTTTAATTTATTTTCATTTTATACTTTTTATAAAAGAAACATATCGGAATGTCATGAACAAAATATATGTATAAATTTATTTCTTCGTAAGTTTCGTATTCAGTAATAATCGTGAATATTTTAATTGCCGCTAATGTAGAATTAATACAGGGTGTTCCAAAAATATTTATGAAGAATTATGATAAAATCGGATTTTATTGAATGAATCAATTGTTTATATCTGGCAGTTAAAATATTTACTTTTACTACTACAGTTATTTTTTCAATTAAAAATACAATTTTATACTATCCTCGCTTAATGTTTTTTGTTTGTGAGAGACACAAATCTGTATTGTTTACTCAAATTGCTAACAATGTAAAGTGTTTTATATTTGACAATACTTTTTATATAATCAAAATATTTTCGACTACCTAAAGCTCAATCAAATTAGATCAGGCCGAGAGACTGTTTATTATGAATCGGACGTATTTAGGAAAAATTACTGATTTTTTTTTAATTCAAATGAATTCTAAATTAATTTTTATATTTTTCAGTATTTAATAGTAAGATTCTGGCCTGAATTTTCACAAAACTTTGCACAAATTGTACCTAAAATATGTAAGATGTTTAAATTTTCGTCGGGCTACTTAAAAGTTTTCTTTAATTATCGTATTTGTTAAAAAACTAGTTATATTTATAAAATTATGTTATAAAGTTCGACGAAGTCAAAGAGAATCGTTGACATTTTAAAATAGTGACGTCACTTGTATACATTTATTATTTATTTTTGACGTTTCATTCTTGTTTGGACATTGTAATTATAGATTATACGAATATTAATCCATATTGTTCCACCCTATTTTTTTTTTTAATTAAATGTAATATTTCACCTTATCGAAATCGATCAGTTAGTATCATTTTTGTGGACATAAATGTTTCCCACATTTTTTGTCTACAACTTTCGGCTTGTTTACAGGTTTTTAATTTTTTTGCAAATAGCTCATCTGTATCGTTCCAAAGATATTTTTTATTTTTGAAAGACTATGATCGCTGTGTGGCCAAATCCGGAGAATATGTTGATTGTTTTGTAAGTTGCAGAGACTGGAACCTATTAATAAATTTATTTTAGGTTTACAAATAAGTCAGTGACGGAACGTGGAGATTAACCTCGGTAAAATTGTTGATTGATTTGTGTTCTGATCAATTTCTCTTTGACTTTGTTCATAAAATCGGACGAGTGTCATAATTTTAATGTGGTGTATCAAACAAAGACTAAAATTTTAAGTAATCTTATAGTGCCAAAGATTTTCTGTAATTTCTAATTTGTAATTGCCAGTTGCTCTACATGAAATATAATAATTTTAAGTACCCACTGACCTGGTTAGAAAATTAGAGAAATTATTTTTTTTTAAAGACTGGTACTTAAGTGGTGAAATATTTTCGATATTCTCAATTTTTGAATTTTGTATTTTGTGTGATCGATTAATTGTGTTTTTGTGATAAGTATATTGTACAAGATGCAACAATGATGTTTAAAATTAAATGAATATTAAAAAAAAAAATAAAATAAAATAGATAATTTTGTTGTTACATCTTGTAAATCATTGGGTTATTGATACGAACCACATAGTTATGAGCTAACTTCAATTATCTAGTCAGTTAATAAACAGTACTTTTTCAATTGGTATTTTTATTTGTACCTGCCTTACTCCTAACTACAAAGGACCCCGCACTTTTTACATTGATTTTGGTTACTGTCAGAATTGGTTCAAATTTTAGCATGTTACTTTTCAGGTCAGGTGCGGGGTCCTATAATTTACGCAAAATTCATGGTCGATGATTGAGCTGAAAATTTACAGTTTGACCATGATTTGGCCTACTAAACATAGACCTGATGAAACAATTCGGAGTCCGGATTTGTATTTATTGGTCAATCCAGTAGATTGATGGCTGAATTGCATGAGGGTTGTGTTCGATAAGTAACTCTCTGAGTACATTTTACTCTTTCACCATTCGATTATTATGAGGTAACTAATTTAGGTTCAATAAATAATAGCTTTTTATTTTGTCCACATTTTGAAAAAAAATATTTAATTACGAGTATTGTATCATTTTAAAAATCATCTTTTAAAAATGTTATTTAAAATGAGTGAGTATAAATATATTGATTTGCATTAAAATGATTTAAAGTCTAATTATCGGCGTTGTCATTGTTGTGGAGAAAGGGAGATTTCGCTTAGGGGGAATTCATTTTTCGCGAAGCAAAGTTTGAATTTATTTATCTACTTTTGTAATTCAGTCGTTGATCTGAAAACAAGTGCCTAGACTGCAATAGCGGTAAGTTTTTAATGTCATTGAAAAAATCAATTATTCTTTACATTACTACCTTTTGTTTAATTATAAGTTTAATTTTTGAAAGTCAATTTTAAATTATTCGATGTGTGTATTAATTCCTTTTATGTTACTGGAATTTCATATTGTTCATATTAATTTTTATTACTATGAAAAAGTAAATGTATTAATTAATTTTTTAATTGTTGGACATTTTAAAATTATTGAAAAGTTTAGCTTGTAAGGGCCTCGTGAAAAACAGAATTTATTTTTGTTTAGAGAGCTAAAATCGGGTAGTTTACTATTCGTAAATACCTAACCATACCTTGTATAATTAAATTACATCAAAGAATTAAAGACTCGTTGAGTTGAATCGCAGAGAATCAGCACCTGATCACCACACTGTAGCTGAGGTGCCGATCTACTAAATAGTTCGGTATTGTGCCTATTTTATTTTTTATGTATTAAATTATAGACGCCAACTGGTAAAAATATCCATTGCAATGGTCAAATTTTCTGGATAAAATCTATTAGACAAAACGGTGGTGAAATAAATATAAATAAATAATGAAAAACAAATAAGTGGAACTTCTTACGACCTGGTATGAAAAATATGAGCAGTGAATTGATAAAAACGACATCCCGATGTCCGGACAGCCTAAGGGAGGACTGCTTTTCTCACGGACAGTTTTTTGTGACCTCCTGTTAGTCAGTTCCGAATGCAATCTGGTAATAGCAGAAGAGAGCCATAGCAGAAATATGGTATACAAAGATTCTTTTATAATTAGATTACTATATACATAAAAATTAGCAGTGCCGTAGCCACATGGGGGTTTTGGGGGCAACCCCCCCCCCCCCCCATGGAGGTTCCACGAGTCTTTATTTCCGCTATAGTATTGGCACTGATCACTATTGACTGTTTTTATTCCCTTTCTTGATGAAACTCCCCCATAGTTCTCAAGACCCCTCCCCTCGCCACTGAATATTAGATTACTTTAATCTAATCGCGTTTTCCATTGGCATGCTCAGTGCGTTTTGAGTGTATTTTCACTTTCTTCTTTTTCATATCGATAAACAAGGACCCAAATATACTCAGTGCACAAATCCAGTGCCAATGGAAAACGCTATATTAATACTATCACATACATATTTTGAACCCTAAACAACATATTATCCCTCCTTTCTTGGGCATTCGCATGCATTTTTCATTTAAAAAAAAAACAACTCCCGGGGAACAGCTAGTTATAAATATATTAAAAACAAACGGTTATAAATAGAGCCCAACAGGACTTCACTTACTTTTTTACGAATCTTCAAACGCATGTGTTTTCACTTACCTATCTGTATACAACACGTTTCGTCCAAATCAGAGTAACTTCCTCAAATTTTGAAAGATATGGGACAAATAATATTATTTTTAACAGATACATTATTTGTGAACAGGTGGTTATTTCTGTGTGTTTATAAAATAATAGACCTGTTAAAAATAACAGGTTGTTAATTATAACCCCAGACAACATTAACACTACGATATCAGAGACTATGGGGTATATTCTGTAACAATTCCTTTATATTTAACGGCCTTTAAAAACATTTTCTTCTTTACTTCTGTCATTATTTAAGCGGATCTTTAAAATACATTAGAGGACTATCTTAAAGAAATCTGTTTAAATAATGACAGAAGTAAATTAACGAATACGAACATATTTTTAAAGGCCCCCAATATTTTTAAAGGCCGTTAAAAGACCCCAATGTCTCTGACGATGATATTAAGTTTTAGATAATATGCCAATAGAAGGATAATACATGGATGAAGGAGGGATAATAACAATAGGCCATTTCATGGTGATTTACATTTTTATAACTCTGTGGAAGCACATAGTTTTGAGGAATTAAAAAGGTTCTTGAAATGACGTGGACGTTCGGAAGAAGGAAAAAAAGTGTGACTGGGAGGTTAGGTTTCAATATTAACTGTGTAAATTAATGAAAACAAATAATAATTATAACTCTATTCTAATTAATTATGCCAACCAAGTATTTAATATTAAAAAATATGTTGAACCATTTTCTCCATGAAAATGTAGTGAACAAATATAAGTATCTTTAGTACCTAACATCCATCAATCGATCGAAAACCTTTGTCACTTCGACTACATTTTTTCACTCATATTTTGCCTAATTTGATAAAGTTTTTTACGATATTGCAGGCAAGTCTTTAAATATTAATTTAAACCGTATGTCACTTTTACACACTCATAACAATACCGTTTACTTTTTTCTTTCCGTAATGATAAACATAATTAATTGATTGCAAAAATTGGTTTTTCAATCAATACACTTAGGTATTACTTTACTTATTTTATCCCATTTTTTTAAACGAATATACTTAAAATTAATATTTATCGATTATAATTTTTTTCACGTGGACATTTTAAGGCTGCGACATTTGAGCCAGCGGTTTTGCAACAAAGCAAGTATTCAATACATTGTACATAGATGGCAATACCTGTACCTGTAGCTCGTATAACAATTTGTTTCTTCTTGTTACATTTAACCTACTACTTACCAACTAGGTACAAGTTTTGACAGATTAATTTTTCATGTAACAGTGCAATTATTAAATTGAAACTGGATATCGCAAAATATATTATTCTTCTAAAACATTTATTGGTATCTGTCTACCTAGATTTGGCAACCTGGATATAAAAACAAGTACGCTTAAAAATAAAATTGTTATACGAGCTACAGGCACAGCTTATACAATACAGCTCCACAACTCCGTGTCGGCGTCTTTGATCTGGCGGAATGGTGCTATCTCTGTTAGATTCGAGGGAAAAGTCGGGCCCGGATTAAACAATTTTTTTAATATTGAAAAAATTGAAAACCTTGGCGTAATAAGGTTGGTTACATGCCATATTAAGTAAGTTTTGGGAAATTAAATTTTTAATTTGTTATAAATCTGTCAAATATAATTAGAAACATTATTTAAATATAAATATTACGAAAAATAGCACATCTTTCGGATTAGAGGTAAAATAATTTGTATGTGGCTAGTAAAATCCTCGTTAACAAATGTTTTGAGCTAAAACAGTCACTTCACGACAAATTGTGGCTTGGATCCTTTTTACACCAAGGGCTTCAATTGTTAAAGAATTGTGTCACGCTCGTGGATGCAAATCAAGTGGCAAGTGTTACTCTTCGCGCAAAGGGTTTATACCTAGATAAACGAATGCTTCGACTGAGGTCTGGGAACTCTATGGTATTTTGGAATTATAAAGAATTTGTGCTTTTATTTTAACAATATTGGTTATATTTAGATGTATTCTTATTAATTGAAATACAGATTTGTAGAAGTAATACTTTGACAGTTTTTATTAATATAATATATTCAATTTTTATCTGACCATACCGAAGTAGGGAATTTTGAAACTTTATAGTAATGTGAAATTTGAATTACAATATTACACGATATTACATAATTAGTACTTATTTTAGGTAGGTACTAAATTTGTACTTGGAGAAAGTAATATCGATTTTTACAAGAAAACTTGAATTAGTAAATTAATTTAGTTCCTATTTCTGATGTAAAACTTAAGTTTTGGTTTAAACCAAGAAAACAAATAAATTATAGTTTGTTCAACAAGGGTGGATATGATAGCAATATCACACAAAGACGAAGTTTGAGCACGACGTCGTATGCGGAGTACTCAATCGTCTGATTATGATATGAACAATCCACTCGATATGGTCGTATATTTTTTCATCATTGTATAAGCTGTGCTGACAATCCAAAAAACTCAAATGTCGAAGGATTGAAATCTAAACGACAAAACGTAAACAGATTTTTGAGTGGGTGTTGTTATTTTTTTGTGCTTTTTCGTTATTCGTGATTTTGTTACTTTTATAAGACTTCTATTAGTTATAAGGATATATTTAGTGATAGTACGTTTTAGTAGTTAGTGAATAAACTTTTACCTTATAAAATATGGGGCATCATGCAAATGTCCCGAGTAGAAAGAGGAAGAGAAATAAGATGTGCAATTGGAAAGTCATGTGTTTCCAAAAATCGTTTGATTTCAAAGTTCTTCAAGGAATAAAAGTGTAACAAAAATTTAATATTGAAAAATATATAAAGTATTCATTTCCAATATTTTTGACATCTGTATTATATTTTAGGTTGTTTTTATTGTAATATACTATAATCTTTTTTCTAATAAACTACTTTTTGTTTTATGTCTAATTATTTTTTATATTTCCTTCCACCCATGTCCTATCAATAATTATTTTTGCAATAAACAAAAATATTTAGGTATTTTTGCAAGTTTTGAATTAGTTTTTATTAAAATTGCTCATAAACCAATACAAATTAACATTAATAAAACTGATTATAATAACTACTTCAAACAAACTCAAAATTAATATTGCAGAAAAATATCCATTTGTACACCACTTCATTGGCTTCAATTCTTAAAATTAGTCTTCATGACACGTATATGACATAGTGAGCGCAATAAAGTTGGGTCCATATATTAGTGTTGTGAATATCCGTATCTTTTTAGTATTCGGATAATACGTATTCGGAACCAAGAGATATTCGGATTCATCATCCGGATACGTATCCATATGTGTGAAATCATAATACGCAACCGTAAATACACCGCGACCTTGGGAATCGGAATCGGGCAGTGTGTCAACCCTAGCAGAATTTATGTTTGAGAGTGAAGTAACAAAATAAATCTCAAATATTTTGTTTTTAATCATAATATCAGAAACAAAATTTCTCATTTATATTTATATAACTTCATGTTACCTTTAAAATATGCAGTGCATGCCGACTAACCGATTATGAATTGCAACAACGCTAGACGATTCCGAATTCTGATTTCGTATCCATAGTTCGTATCGGCTGCCACCCGCAAAACCCGAATCGGCTCTGTCATAACAGAACTTGCAGCATTCGATTCGTGTATTACGATTTTGTTTCTGTTCTTTTTGATACCGAATTCGTATTCGAATATACACTATTGATTCCGGAATATCCGGATCCTTTTAATATTCGGATTCAACGGATTTTTGGATACGTATTCTTACATCACTACCATATATATATGGCAAATTGTTTTAATATTATCACCGGAAAAAACGTCATTTACCTCTGATTATTTAAAAAGTTGCTACGTACATTACTTACCTGTCAAATTCGTAATAATTTTGAAAAATCGCTCAAAAATCCTTTTTTAAACAAGACTGGCAGAACTAAATCCAGTAGTCAAATTTGATATGGGTTGGTTTAAGTTTTTAAATAACCAGAGATGATGGTTTACGATGTTTTATCCAATCGTAATATCAAAAAAAAATCACATATGGATCCAACTTAATGACACACACTGTATAAAGCAGGTTTGAGAACGTACAAAACTATATTTTTTTTAATTCTTGTCAACTAACAAAAGTGCTTGTGCCTTAAAAGCTTCCCGATTTTGTCCATGGAGAAAGATTTTGTCACTCAATAAATATCTTTAAAACCATTAAAAACATACATAGAACGGCAACGTCGTATGTCGTATTGTCAATGATTATCATATTCAAGTATATTTGAGCAACGGTTCGTATTGTACTTTGAAATAATTTGACATGCCGTTTGCATTTCTAATTGGTCAACCAATAATTTGAACATATGACGTTTACTTTTCTGATTGGCAACCATTAGTTGTCGCCCAAGTTCCAATAGGCGAGTTCGGTCAGTCAGGGGCTGGAGCGGGACAAATTTTAGGGTGCTTTTAAATGACATTTAAGCGTGTTAAACTGTCACTAATCGGACTAAACCGAACGCTAAAAGAGTCGTTTGGAGTTAAAAGTGTTAAAGGAGTTAAAGGAACGTGGCAAACCGAACGCAATGATTGTATGTCGCATTGGTGGTGAACACGATGTACTAAAATGACATGATAATTAACGCGTCAATTTTAAAAATTAGGCATTCCAACGACCTGTCAAACAATAGGTGCCAGTGGGAAATTCTTGTATATTTAAGGGGGTAGCGACATAGTCTTGCAACTTGGACGCTATTTTTATTCGAAGTAGTACTCGCCAAGCCTGCCAATTTATGAAGAAATGTATAGGTGGGTTTTTAAAATATTATTTTTATTGTGTTTGACATAAAATATTTAAATGTAATCCATTATTCATGATTTTACGTAAAGTAGATAGAATACACCATATGTCGCCACCCTTAGATATACCAAACCTGCCCACTGGTAATTCATTTGTTTGGAATGCCTAATTGTGTCAAAATTTGCAAATTGAAATCATGCTTTTTATAATAATTATTAGACCGACAGCCGTCATATTGTAGGATAGTTAATAATCATAGAGAATTCATTGAAAACAATTTGCTTTAATCATCCTTGCAATAAAATTTTTCAAGTTTTTAATGATAATTTGAAATTATGATTAGTTATTATCGAATATGTTTATATTCAATTTATTCTTACAACATTTCTGTTTAATTATAACTCAATTTCCTTGTAATTTTTCTTTATTAATCTAAAAAGAATGATTTAGTAACACGTTGTAAAATGACAAAAACTGCCGCCATTTTTAGTCCATTTCCCAGCCTTAACATGCTTGTTTACAAAAAACAGTACGAAAAAGATGGCTGATACTGACGCATTTGCACAAAAAAAATTGTGATGAAAAGGCATATGGATAAATATCACTATTCGCAACCACAGCAAGCCCAGTAATCTATGGCAAGCCCTAAGTTAATCCAAAATGAAAATCGTGTAAAATTTAAAAATTTACCTTCAGAAGCGTCATCTACTGATAAAAATAATGATTTGTACAGCGTCATCTTTTAGTAAAAACGATAATAATTTACAAGTCGCCATCTATTGGTGAAATGTTTAACAATTTGTAAAGCGTCATCTAGTAGATCACGAGTAGATTAAATTTGAGATGCGTTCCGAAAAAAAACTCTGGCGAACTTCAATTATCTTGCTCAGTCAAGGGCCAAGGGCGGTTTATAAACTGAACTCGAAATAGGATACTTATAATATAAATATCTTTATAAAGAGAAGAATCTTAGACAAGTTGCTTAGCTGTGCGCATTCTTATGCAATTAGAATTTTGGCTATATCACGGGAATTAATTAAAAATAAAGTTTTTTTTACTCATTAGCAGTTGGATTTTTCAATACTTGTTTTGTATCAATGAAGACCTATATAAAAAGAAGCAGAACGTTATGTCAAAGTTATTATCGATAAGTTTGGAATTCTGTTTTACCGATCGGGAAAAAGTTAACCTGAAACAACGTGGTCTCGTTCTTTCCTTCGATTCATCGAAAAAGTGTGGTTCGAAGATCTCGTGTTTACGAGTTTTCCCGTAATTTCGATACCTTCTTGGTAAAAATATAATAAAATGGTTGCCCAAAAGAAACAGAAAAAGGCTATTGAAAGCATCAACAGCCGTTTGGCTCTAGTAATGAAATCTGGCAAATTTTGTCTAGGATACAAGCAAACTTTGAAGACCCTCAGGCAAGGTAAAGCTAAATTAATCATTATATCCAACAATACACCTCCACTAAGAAAATCCGAAATTGAATACTACGCTATGTTAGCCAAAACCGGAGTACACCATTATTCCGGAAACAACGTAGAATTGGGTACAGCTTGTGGAAAATACTTCAGGGTGTGCGCCATGTCCATCACCGATCCTGGAGACAGTGATATCATTAGGTCCATGCCAGCTGCAGAAGGCGGAGAAAAATAGATTTATTTTTAAGTTGGATTTTATAAATTAAGATATTATGTTTTGTGAATAAAAAGTGGACCACATACGTTTTTTCAATGTTAACCCCTAGTCAAGTCATACATTTAAATAATCATAATATGCTGCTAATATTATTAGTGTTACCTGTAATCATTTCAGATACATAGTATCATACGTTTTTAGCACTTTAGGGCTTCCATCTTTTCATTTCCCAAAACCCCCACATGATCAATCTAAGCTAAGGGATACACCTATCATGTACATACCTATGTACTGTATTTATTTTGAAAAATAAAACGCTTTAGTTTATTGAACTAGAGGGCATGAAGAAAAAATTAAAGATAGGTTAGCTACCTATTAAATTTGAATTTTTACATATACATTTTTAAAAAATAAGGGAACAACATTATAGATATGTTATTTCATTTAAACAAAAAACATGCCTCATAACTTTTTGTTTAAAGTGTAGGTACTTTGTATAAGTTATGAAAAAACAAAAACTTATAAAACTAGGTTTATGAAATTTTTAAGTAGAATGATTCCTGAGCTTACAAGCAAAAGGCGCTAAGTCAAAATGGGTTTATATTTTTGTATATGTAAAAACAGTACATTGTATTCCGAAAGCATGTACATTTTCTTTGAAGTAGTTGATAATCCCTAAATAATTTTTAAAAAAATTAGACCATTGAAACTTTAAATTGCTTATAATTCATAAACCTATTTTTTCACTTAATGCCTATTGCTTGTAAGCCCAGGATATAATGCTTGACATTATATACTCTTCACAGTTTAACAGACCCTCCTTTACCTCTATTCTATTAAGATTTTTCTGAAGATTTCAAATTGATCACTTTTTGTATCATTTTTTTTAACATTTCAACCCTCGATTTTTTCAGGATCCATAGGCTTCAACCTTGTATACAACTTAATTTTACTGAAAAAATTAATGTTCTTTGATGTTTTTTTTTTTAATTTCAGCCCCTGTTAATCCCCCATTGTTAATCAGTTTTTAAAATTAGATGAAAAGGATCTTTGTAAAAAAAAATTAAAATTGGATTAGTATTGAAAATTTAGGTTTCTCAAAAGTAAACCTATAATATACTCTTCATATAGTACTGTATAAGAAATTTAAAGCTTAAATTACCAATTGCCTATTTTACAAACTTTCATTTATTATTATTTTTGATTAGATCTAGCTGCCGTTATTAAATTGAAATTATCCTTTATGGAATCATAAAATTTCAAGATATTCCTGGACATTTCCATCATGCGACTGGACAAACCTGTAAGAAACCGGACAGTCTGGGCGAAACCTGTACAGGTGGCGTCCTTAAGCACTATCAATGCAATACTAAGAAGAAAAATAACACTTATCAACTATGTTTACAATGAAAAACTAAACACAATTTACTATGGCTTAAATTTTGAATATTTGTGTACTTTTTACATCCATTTTCGAGCCTTAACTCAAAATTGAGATTTTCGAGTTGCATTAAGTATTTTATTGATGGTGCAATATGAGAAATGGCTTTTCATAAAAGAAATAGTTGTTGTCCATTTGATATGCCCATTTATGTGCTTATTTTATTTGAACCAAATAAAATTTTTACTAGATTGAAAAAAATATTGCCTCTTTCGAACATAGCAAAACCAACTAATTGGACACCTATATCTTCTACACTTTACAATATATCTGCAATTTCCCCTAATTCACGATTAGTTTTCAAAAATAATTAAAAAATATATTGTAAATGTATGTCTACATTACAATCAATATTTACCAACAATTACCATACAGGGTGTCAATTTGAAAACTTTCAATGCAAATATCTCGCAAAATAAAGAAGTTGGAGAAACGCCGTTTGGCACAAATGTTATATAGTCATCCCTCTAGGCGCGACACACCCAAACTTTAAAATGTCAAATGGCACTACCCCTTTTGTTATACCTCAAATGAAAGGTCTCATTTAGTAGAATTCACCTGTACAAGAATTTTTTTCCATTCAATACATGAATTCGAATAAAATTAACTATTTTGTTAAAATGGTACTTTATTTGATCAGATAATTCAAAATGCATTCTATTTATTTCTAAACGATAGTACAATCGATTTTCAAACTCCGTTATTGTTATTAAGATGATATTTTATTTCATTAGATGGTCAACATGCATTGCATTTTTTTGTAAACAAAAGAAACTTCAAATTCCATTCTAAAATTTTGGCGCACTTATCTGATAATAAAAAATAGCATTGAATTTATCGGGTACGTACCTATCTATCAAGGTTTGTATAAAATTTAGTCGTTTGTGCAAGGTTGTACTGTACTGCAAAGTCACTACGAGTATAATTTTTATTTTCTGTTCATCATGGTCTATAGTTTGGCTGAAAGAATTCAGATGGTGTTTATTTATGGTTCAGAAAATCGTTGTGCCTTAAGAACTGCTGCAGCATTTAACGAAATAAACTCCGGAAAAAATGTAAGTCATACTTACATCAGACAACTGATTATTAAATTTGAAGAAAAAGGATCAGTGGCAAACAAAAAAAGGGTCCATCAAATAGTACTTAATGAAGCAGCACAAGTAGAAGTTTTAGGACATTTTGCTATGAATCCTACAATGTCTCTACGCCAAGCTTCGGCGATAACGGGAATTTCTCATGAAGCTGTTCGTCGGGTACTCAAACTTCATAAGTTTTACCCGTACAAAATGCAAATTCTTCAGGAGGTGCAGGAGAATGACCCCGATCGAAGAATGCAATTTTAGGACATGACCGAAATGTTACCTGTTACTCCCCAGTTGCTAAAAAATATTTGTTTTAGCGACGAATGCACGTTTCACTGAACAAACACAACTGCAGGTATTGGAGTGAAGAAAATCCGCCTTTCTTCAGGGAAGGGCACACGCAGTATCCAGAAAAAATGTCTGGGCGGGAATTTTAGGCGACACTGTGATTGGGCCATTATTTTTTAATGACAATCTTAATGGCGATACTTACTTATTGTTAAAGAAATTGAAAATCAGCTGGACATTGACGGAAACAGGAATCTGAATAAAAATTTAATATTTTCAGCAAGACGGAGCACCACCCCACTACGTTCTTCCAGTCAGGCAATTTTTGAATGACGCTTTTCCAGGTCAATGGATTGGACGGAGAGGTCCAATCGAATGGCTGGCGAGATCTTCCGATCTAACACCTCTTGACTTTTTCTCTGGGGAAATTTGAAATCCATCGTATTTAAAACAGAACCGGATTCAATAGAAGATCTTCGGCAACGAATTATTATGGAATGCAGCAATATTCCAAGAGAAGTGTTCCACAATGTTAGAACAGAATTTGAAAATCGATTATACTATTGTTTAGCACAAAATGGAATGCATTTTGAACATCTAATCAAATATCATTAATTTTTTTTTGTATTGAATGGAAAAATTCTTGTACGTGTGAATACTACTAAACGAGACCTTTCATTTGAGGTAACACAAAAGGGGTAGTGCCATTTGACATTTTAAAGTTGTGGTGTGTCGCGTCTAAGGGGTGACTCACCCGCTCACTTAAAAATGGTGGTTCTAGCTCCCCCTAACTCTATCAACATTTCTGCCAAACGGCGTTTTTCCAACTTTTTTTATTTTGCGAGATATTTGCACTGAAAGTTTTCAAATTAACACCCTGTATATTCATAATTACCTACCTTACATTGCCGAAGAAAAGTGTGTTCGGATTCTTCAAAAATACATTGACCAGTGGACAGTTTATTAGTTGTATGCAGACGAATAATTTGCAATTAAACTGTTCCACTGGTTCTGGGACGGTTTGCATTAAGTTTTAATGAAACCAAAACAAACTTATAATATTCAAATTTATTAACGATTTTTGATTAACCAAATTTATTAATTTTGACTAGAGAGAAATAGTATATATCCTACGGAATTTTAATCTTTATTACTATTGTGTTGACATAAGCAGGTTGTACAAAAAAATGCAGTAACCTCAGTTCAGCTATTTTTAAATAGTTGTTATATTCAAAGTACAAAAAAATGCAAATTTTAAAACTGTTTAAAAAGTTCAGTTTGATTCAAGATTACATTTTAACTGAATATTCTACAACCCGCCCTAATTTGCACAATGTTATTTTAATTCGTTTTAAGGTTTTGAGCTAACTTCGTTTTTACATACAACTTTGATATCTTACCTATACTTTTACCCTGATAATGAATCCTTGGCCAAAACCGGTTACCAATTCATTTATACAGCACATTAGCCGCGGGATCAATTTTTAAAGATCTATTTAATGGAAGGCGGTCTTAATGACCCTGTCATTTCCTATTTGGCAGACTTAAAATTTATAAAACCTCTACCTGCTAAGATTGTAAATGTCTGGTCGATCTAGGAACTGTCTGACTGTTTTGCTATCAATTTCTCTAAATATTAATCAGTTTTCAATAATTATAACATTAAAAAGTCTTCAGTCATATAAGCCCGGAAACATGAAATAGGAAAGTTTCTGACGAGTATATTAGACTTCCCATCACTTTATAAAAATTGTTATCGCTAGATTATACCTATGAAGTACTTTGACGAGGATAGATCTCGTCCCGCAGTTAAGGTGTTAAACAAGGACATAGAAATTTTCTCATGAAACTCGCAGCAGCATTTTAATTCGCGGGGCCCTGGCAGCTTTCGGTAACGTTTTATTTTTTTAGATGTTCGCCTCAAAAGGGAGGACTTGGTTTACGAAAAATACAAGGTGAGCACCTATTTTTCTTACTTAGATTTTACTGAAAAAGGATCACAAGGAAAGTTTTGTCTTCTTGAGGCCTTTTTTTGAATGGTCCTTGCACTACTGTTCCATAGTTAGGTTTATGATTAAATTCTTCTTTGTTTTACTACTTTCAATATAGAATTTGACGATACTAATAATGATAATACTAATTGGTAGAATTTAAACATCCTTTCACAAAATCAAATACTATCTCCAAAAATATAACAGAATTGTATATACAGGTACGGAAATTTAAACGAGGACTACCTAAGCCAAATCTATTAGAGACGAGCATAAGTGCTGCTCAGTGGGCTTAGTTTGTTTCAGGTATGGTTCTATTATACTCATCTTGTTCACTTTTAGTGTAAAATAGAGTGCCCACGTTTAATTTTCCATATCTGAATATTAACCAGAGGTAATTAACAATGTGGTCTATTCTATGAATGTTTATATCTTCATGCAATTTTAATTATATATGCTCAAATCTTAAACAGTAGTAGTATTCTTGCAGATGTTCTTCAATAAGTAATGTAGTAGGATGCAGCACCATATTTGACTTTAATTTCATTTTATCAAAAATATCTATTTTGATGAGTAATAAAGAGGACACGCCCAAGAACGCTGCCTTGTGGAAGATCTCTAGGCACAACCAAAGCGTCCTTCAATATTTTAGAGATTACACCCCAACAAACACCAAATGGGATTAATCGAGAACAAAATCAAACAACAATTTTACTTAATTTTATTATCTTATTTACTAAAATTTAAAACGAAAATGTAAGCCCTGTCCTATTGCTTCGTTTGACAAAAAATTTCGCCTTACAGCATAAGTGACTTTTCAGTTTAATCTTTTTGCTGAAAAGATACACAAGATATTTTTTTTTGTTTCAGTTAAAAAGACATTATTTTATTGTCCCATTATAACCAACAATGAGAAAAATTATCACTATTATAAAAAAACTTTTCGAGAGTCTCGCTCACTATCACAAAACACTAAAAAAATCGTAGACCAGCAGGCAGTTCGTTATTAGGAAATTAGTAAAAAGGGCTGATAGTACCAACTAGTGTCATACAATTATTAATGGAAGTATGATGGTGGCAAACGATATAGTGTGTCCCATAAACATTGTCAAATAGTTCAATCGAAAAATTATATCTGTACACTTTTGTGTTACAAACTATCAAGAGTTTGACAGATTCAATTTTGTTCACTTAAAAGGTAAAAAAAAGGGTGATAAATTAAGAACGTAGTTACATCTAAAATTGTGCTCATCAGGAGCCTAATTTCACAGCAGTCGGTAGCACAATATGTAGAACTGTAAATGACAATTACTTTCCTGCACATGCGAACATCATTTACTATTCATTCCAATACAAGCAAATCAGGACCGAAGGAAGGCCAAAGAGCAGCTATTCAGCCTAACTTCAGTGTGGACTTAAGTTGAAAGGAGAACACAATCTAAACCAGACCGACTCAATGCATCTAGGTATCATGGTAGAAAAAGAGGGTTCAGAATTATCTACCATTATCAATACAATATTTTAGCTCCTATAGGACTAGAACTCGTTAAGCACCAAAGGGATCTCCCCAAAGCTTGTCCTCGCAGACCAATCAAATGCCTCTAAGGTCCAACTAGACCGAATTTCATCATTTTTTATGGCTCCTAGAGAAGTTTGCCACCACTATACATAATTGAACACAAAAATACAGCCACTTCACTAATTTCCCGCAAAACGCATCCAGACTGGTTCAGAAAGAAATAAAAAAAGACACTCTAGTGTATTTTATTATTTAATGTGTCCTGTTTTTCAATCAATGAGAAAAAAATATATATATAACAAATATCCTAAATTTCCTTATCATGTAAATAAGTTTTGATATTTTACAATGAATAATTTAAATTAAAGGGGGGAGGGGGAGAGTAGAGTGTACAGTACGCTTTTTTTTGTTATTTAAAAAAATCCTGGAGGAGACTGACTACCCTGCGCGAGGGGATCCCGCAAAACATTCAAGACGTCTTTTTCCACATCTATATTTCATGTATAAAAATTACAGAATTGCAAATTAAATTAAAAAAAAAGAACAATACACTTGCAAGTTCAAAAGTAACAACTATTCTATTAGTTTTTAAGTCAATGATTATAATAAGATACATTTATCAACACCTAAATCTCGGGATGAATCAAACGAGGTTTTTAAGATCTTCACTGTTTTTTGTTTTGTTTTTGGAATGTACCGCTTTCATACGAAAATCCCTAACCAAAAAAATGTCATCGAGTCTTTCAAGTATGTTACATTTCACCTTCAAACAAGAATCATATTCTAAAATAAGAAACGTGAACTGTACTGAAGACATTAATATGTGGGACGCTGTTAGAGAATTAATGCACAAGCAAAAAAGGGGGAAATGGATGTGAGGCAATGAATAAATTTGATAAAAGCTGTCCTAATTAACAATTTAACCGTAAGAAATGACAACGCTAAATATTTTCTTTAGAACTTGACCTAACTTCAACATAGTGCAGTTCAACCAATAACATGGATTTAATTTACTTATAAACTTTAAAAAATCACATTAAATTACGTCTAATATCTAAAAATCGCGATTTTTATTCAAAATTATATAAAATTTCGATTTATATTTGACTAAATTATTTGCTAGATGCCAAAACTTAAAAATGTCTAATAAAATTTTGATTAGGTACTATCACGAAATTGGTACAAAAATTGAATTATTTCTAGAAAACAACGTTATTTTTTCTTTACACAAATTTTGACTTTTTCTTATAAAACAAAGTTAAATATTTTAAAGGAATATCAAATTCCTCAAAAATGTATACCTCAGAAACGTTATTTCTTTTCATATCTCGAAATTTTATAAAACTGACATCTCAAAAAAATTATATTATATATATGTAAACAAAAACGTAATTTTTTCTTTATAACTGGAAATTTTATATAATTTATATCTCAAAAATCTAATAGTTTGAGGGAATATATAGAAAAATGTATATTTTGAGGGAATATCTAAAAACGTATATTTGCAGAGAATACCTCAATACAAATATATTTTGAATGAGTATCTCAAAAGAAAACAACGTAATTTTCTCTTAATATCTCGACATTTTATATTTTGACTTATACCTAAAGAATCTAATGTTTTGAGGGGATATTCAAAAAATATATATATATTTTTAGAGAATACCTCAAAAAATTTGAGTATCTCAAAAATACGTAATTTTCCCTTCGTATCTCAATATTTTATAAAATGTTGACTTATAATATCTCAAAACATCTAATATTTTGAATAAGTATCTCAATCTAATATTTTGAGGGAATAACAAAAAAAAAATGTTTATTTTGAGAAAACCCCAAAACAATGTATCTCAAAACAAAATTCTGACATCAAATAATTTAATATTTAGGGAAATATCTCAAAAAATATATTATGAATGAGTATCTCAAAACAAAGTAATTTGTTCTTCATATCCCAAAAGTTTATAAAATGTTGGGTTATATTATCTTAAAAATGCTAATGTTTTGAAGCGATTTCTCAAAAAAACATATTTTGAGATATATATAAAAAAACAAAAATTTATATGAATATCTCAAAATATTGCTAAATTTTAACTAGCAGGTAAAATATCTCGACTTCTATAGCTAATTTATATTTAAGTCGTTAAATATAAATGTATGACTAGAAAAAAACGTATTTCATGTTTGGTATCTCGAAATTTTACAAAATTCTGACTTCTAAGCAGAAATGACAGATGTACGTTGTAACTTCCCAAAAAACATCCTATTTTCTATAACTCTGGATCGGTTAAAAAAAAAATAAAGTCTGCATGTGTTACGGTCACTTCTCAATATATTTAAACGAGCCTAAGTAACAGTTTTTTTTTATATTAAACAAATTAAAATATAAAGCGATGAAATTCTTCAAAGCTGCTTTTTTCTGCACCGAAGCCTCGAAGTTTCAAAAACGGACCAGCCCAAAAAACAAATATAGAAAACAGACCCGTCCACTATGATGTTCGACGATGAGAGATCTTAAGCAGGTTCGCACAGGACGATCAAAAAACGCGAAACATTATCTACAGATTTTTTAATTAATTATATTAAGTTAAAGTCGGCGTGCGAATCCTGGATTTAATTTTTTTTTTTTAGTTTGTATGCTCAAAAGTGTCAAAAATTTTCAAAAACAAAACAATTAATTATTATAGTACACCTAATCGAACCACAAAATGCCTACATATTAATTTATCTAATAGTAAATATATCAGTTTGAGTGAGGCAAAGGCAGCCATACTGGTCGAAGAGGAAGGAAAAAATGACTATATCACCGTATTCCGTCTCTCTCCGCAGCTTTGGACGCGAGAACATCTCCGCGGCGACCCAGCATCCCGATTTCCTGTCGACTCGTAAAAAAAAACGAATGATCTAAAAGCCGAAAAAACCGCGCACTTGGGTCGTGGCGGCGGGATCCGAAACTTTTTCAAAAAGCGAATGTACAGAAGATTTTTTAGTTTTCATTTTTTTATATATATACGTGCGAAAAATTATTACAGGCTGGCCGATCCCCTCCGGTGTGTTTGTAGATTTTTTGTTGTATGAATTATTAAATAAATTGTTTTTGTTTTCTTCTAATGTGTGAAATGTGGGTCGGGGGGGCCGGGCCATCACATAGCATACTTGCGAGTCCACTCGCGCGCTAACTCGTTGTATTTTTCCCGGTCGGTTTTGTATATCCTAGCGATTTCTGGGACTAGTGGATCGTCTGGGTTTGGATCGCACAGCAGTGAGCAGATTGATAACAAAACTGAAACAAACATAACAATATCGAATTAGTTTTATAGGTCAATATTATTTTATTCTAATTTTAAATAATCCGATTCACACATTGGGCGCCAATAATTGTTAGACATCTTAAACGTTAAGATTCGTTAGACGGTGATACTAAGGCCCGTATTTATAAACAGAACTTACGTGAGTCGGACTTGGGTAAGTCGTCTTTGAACTAAAATCGAAGTTCGGTTACAACGTCTCTATAGTTCGAGGTGGTTACGGTGTTACACTGGAATTTAGAGATGGCTATTTGCAAATCTGTAACTGTTATGTTCATTTACGGATTTGTTACTACCTATCTCTAAATTCACGCGATATAACCGAACTTCGATTTTCGTTCAAGGACAACTTACCCAAGTCCGACTCAGCTGAGTTTCGTTTATAAATACGGACCTAAATGTCGCACTGGCGTCATCGTCTAAACTATTGAATATTTCCACGCCTTAATCAAAACTTTAATGATTCAGGTTACTCTCATTTTATCCATTCTTCTAATACATGTTTTGTCTAGGTTATATTAGAGTATTCTAAAAGAAATTGTCACTTTTGTATAAAAATCGTAAGAAAATCAACGTCCTGTATAAATTTTTTTTACCTACACGAGTTTTTTAATATCAAGTATTACAATTTTCTATAGTATAATTTTATTTAAATGGGACTTCCTATATTTTTATTACCAGTAGATTTCTCTGAAAAAGCTTTCCATTTCAATTAAGCATTCCCTATACCTACAGTTAATAATTATATTAACATTATGATTATTTCAATAAATAAGACTAGTTAAAAAAAAAAACAATTTATAAACTTTAAAAAATAAAACGTGTAAAAAACAAAATTATAAAAGTTGTTCAAAGTGACCTCCCACAAACGAACTTCAAATGATTGTTTCACATTTCTTAGCATTTGAATAACTGTGAATTAATGCGATGGACAAGCGCACTATTGTGCAAACATCACATTTGTTGACGAATGTGAAGGGGAATATCCTCAAGTAATATCAGTAAATGATTTTCAAGGAAATCCAAATATACTGCACCATTTACTCGTCCTTTAAAAAAAGCGTGGCCTACAGTTTCACCCCAAACATTTAATGACCGTCTCATTCGGCTATAGTAACTAGAAAATGAGGGGTTGAGTAACAGTGAAAGTTATGCCTATTTAAACCTCCATTTTTATGAAAAGCCGATTCATCACACTGCAAATTTTATCTAATGTTACCAAATATCGATAAATAATAACTTTAGGTATAAGGAATGCTTAATAAAAATGGAAGGCTTATTACAGAAAGTTATACTGGTGATATAAAATGTAGGGAGTCCTATTTAAATAAACTACGAGAATCAAGGGTCTGAGTCTTGTCACCCTGTATACTAATAAGCATAGAATAAAAACGTAACTAAAAGTATAATACACATATAAACATGTTTGGTTCATAATCTATGTAATTAAAAAATGTGGCCCTCAAGCCACCTTATAAATTTTGTTAATACATTTTTTTAATATCTTACAATAAGGAAAATATCAAACTTTTCAACAAGATTAGTATATTCATTTCCAACGAAAATACTGAAAAATTAAAATTTTTCACTTTTCCTCAAATTTTTCCATTACTGTCCATTTTAGAGAAATCATGTATAAAACAAAAATTATAGAGAATGCTATCACAAACAACTTTTACTTAAAGAATTATACTCTATAAAGTATCCCCCAGATGCTTCGACAATGCCCAAAATTGAATCATTTCACTGCAGGATGGATTAGATCTTAGGTTTAAAATTTGGTATTTCTCTTTATCCGTTTTTGAGTTACCGTCAAAATTCGAATATTGCCTTTTTCCTTAAATTTCTCTAATACCCATTTTAGGGAAATCATGTATAGGCCAAAAAAAAAAAATATACAGAATGACATCACATTTCAAAAATGTTCTCCGAGCGTAAATAACAGTTATATTAAAACTGCGGGGCTCCCCATAATTAAAGATCGACTTCAGCAAGACATTTTATAAAATTGATCATTCAATTCGTATTGCCGACATGGGTATCCACGATAGTCTACTAAGATGACTCGATTGTTTGTGTAACTTTGGGTAATTTCAGGTCCAATCCCATGTTTACTACTTCCGGAGTATTCCAGGGGTGTCACATAGGACCCCTACTCTTTAATTTATACATCAGTGATATTTCTATGTTTTTTGTTAACTTTATCATGTATGCTGATGATTTGAAAATATTTCACTCAGTATCTTGTCCCAATGACAAGAATTTTACAAATTATTATAGGCTAGTTCAGTGATGATGTAATTATGGTTCCACTGACAATTAAAGTGAGTAGATTTTTTGAGTGCGTTTTGTTTACCTAAATTATATCGTTTTATTACTTTTATAGATATATTCCTAAAGTAAGTAGATATCATGCATCAAATATACAATCGTTTAGTTACCAATTACATACTTTTAAACTATTTTTTATGACCTGTAAACAATATTTAGAAATAACCTAAAAACAGTAAAAAGGTATATGTCAAATTTATTTATGTTTTCGTTAAAAGTTTGGTTAGAATTAAATGTCAGTGGAACCAAAATGGCATCACACCGAACTAGCGTATTGTAGGCAAAAAAAACTTATTTTAAATACATATAAATGTACTTATACAGTTTTCTGTTAAATGTCTATGATTCTTAACTCAAAATTAATTTTCGATAAACATATATACAGGGTAGTCAAGTTTATATCCTCAGGATTTCACCAGCTCATTGAAAAATAAAAGTATTTTGTCCAATAAACTATGATCCAATGTTGCTACCTTTTTTCCCTTTGTCTCAGCAGGTTCAGAGAAGTGCAAAATTGTTGTAGTTTTAATTTTTTCTCCGAACACAAAAAGTTATATAGAAGATTAAAAGATCTACTGGGCGATATTTTGTATGCCAAAAACTGTAACATAAAGTTGTCAATAAACTGAGAAAATTTCATCAAAATCGCTCAAAGCCTTTTTTTAGATAGTTATAAATAAAAAAAAAACTATTTAAAACAAACTTTAACATCCTGTATATCAAAAAGGAAACAAAAATGGGTCATATTTTATCAGAAAACTACATTTATTTTTTGAAAACTATCGGCTGGTAAAATGCTGACTCTATAAACTGGACCAGCCTATATAATGTAGCTAATGAGACACACGGAAGACAATTAGGTGTTAATCCTCCCTAATTTACTTATATTGATAAATTGAAATCGATTTAAAATAAGTTTGTTTCCTATTGCCAAAGAAAAGTTTACCCTTGTATATCAGAAAAACAAAGTGTCCGTTTTATTTCGAAATTCATTAGTCTTGAGCAAAGTAGGCAAATAGCAGATGAAATGTCCATACATAAGATTTTTAAATAACAGAATTGATGGTGTTGAAATAATAAATCTCAATATCTCATTCGAATTGCTACTCCTAAATGTAATAGTTCGTAAATCAGGCATCAACGAATGATTATTGAAATTCGCTCCTTCATAGGGCTACTAACCCTTATAATAAATTGTTGAATACTGTCGACATTGACATTTTTACACAATTTTATTAAGATTAAATATGTACTTAAGGTTTTTCAAAGACATATTTTCGTCTCATCTGTCAAACAAATATATGGAATGTCTAGTAATATTTAAATGCATTTTGATACAAGTTAACCAAACCGGAACAATTTATAAGGCCTTAAATTTAAAATTCCTGTCATTTAACCAATCAATGCGGGATAGTTATTTTTTTCACCCAATCATTATGCAGGAACCAATTTATTTATTATTAATATTCATATCGGAATTATTGGAAACAATTTATTAATATATTTTTAGGATATCCTACCAATAAATAGCAGACACAAATAATTGCCGTTATATTTCGTTTGTTTTGAATACAAATTAAAAAAAAAAATAAATATATGAAAAAGAGTTGAGACTGCTGAAATTTCATTGAATTCATTTTTACTCATTTTTCTCGACACTTCATTTTATCGCTTGGTTTTGGTACCTTCATATTATACACCATGGCATAAAAAAAAGTGGAGTAGTGATTTAGAGAGCTTAAAGTTTATTTTTTAAAATAATGACACTAGTTTCCTTTCAAATAAAAAAAAAATAAATAAAATTAATCAATTCGGAGTTTATCACAGTGAATTATTATCAAGCTATGTTTCTGATTCGATGTAATTCAATTTTCAAGATAAAGATATGTCGTCACTACGATGAAACGTTTGTCATATTAAATATTGGAAAATCACAAAGCAATTTTTATAATTTTAACAAATATAGAAAAATAATTAAGGATTGATATTTAGAAGAGTTTATTGAACAACCTTCGTAACTGTACACGTATTAATCATAACGGAACATAATATTTTTAACCTAAAAAAAAGATAACGTGCTATTGAAGCGATAAAGGAAGTCCACCGCAAACATAATGATTATTATTAAAAACATATATTACAAAAATAAAACTATTAATAGTAACTGTGCAAAACAAAAGAATAAAGTACGTGCTTTGGCGAATCTAAGCTATGTATATCCATGAAAAAAGTATCAGTTTAATAAAACTACTAATAAAAAATTTTTGAGACAATTTTTTTTTTTGATGAAAGATGATTGATCAACTGTTGGATGTTATTTTTGAATAATATGAAAAATTATGAACGGTCAGAAATAGATGGATCAATGCCAAAGTTGACTAATTTTTTGTACAGCATGGTAAAAAAATATGTTATCAATTATATTACACCTTCTGTGAATTGTAATCAAAAGCAAAATTAACTAATAACATCGGTAGGTTTCGTGTCCTTGTACAAGGTTATAATTTCTTAAATATTGGAATAAATTAAATTAGTGCGTGATAATATTTTTAGCAATTTACCATGACTATGAATTTTGCTCATATCGCTGTGACTCAGCTATACTGTCTACTATTTCTGTTTTTGTTTATGAACTTGTCTAGAG